ACAGAAACCCGACCGGTAAATCGACGAACACATAATGTTCCGCATCGCTTCGTGTTTTTCGTGTTTTCGATCACGCAACGCTGTCGCGGAAAATTGTGCCTTTGTAGCGCAATTGGTTTAACGTTCATTAATAAATCATGTGTGTAATGTTTGATCGAAATAAGTTAAACGATGCATTAAGCAGCGCAACCCGGCGATACGAGCGATTATTAACGTGCCGTAATTATTAGCGCGCGATTATTCAAGGGAATGCGTCAGCGTATCTCGAATTTGCACAGTCACGTTCGCCCGTGCGAACGTTATTCTCATAAACAGGGCTATTTTCGAGTTTGACTGTTTACGACGCGACGCGAATTTACACGGGGAAAACAAGTCCATTGGTGTAGCTGAATTTTTTCTGCCACTTGAGGACCGAGAGAAAAAAAAATATATATATATAAATAAGAGATAGTAAATATTTATTTGATGGGTATTAACAGCACGCATTTATTTATAATAATATAGAATATTTTTCACAAATAAGAGAGAGAAAGAGAATACACATTTTCTTAAAACCTTACGAAAACTTTAGTTTTTCATAAAATATAATTTATTCTATTTAAATAGAAAAATTTAGATTGTTTTAAGTAAATACATTGTTAATACTCTCATCTCAAATGAGCATTTAATTTCCGAATATTTTTTTCTCTCAGTGCAGACGTGGAAAATTCGACTGTAGAAACGGGAAGATTCATGTAGAAGGTTTCTACTTGGCCAATTGCTCTCGGTTGTCTCAAGCGAGTTTTAATGCAATTAAATGTTCAGACGAATGTTTCCGGCCGCGGTAACGGGAATATACTATTTCTCGTCGGTGAATTTTTTGTCCGGTCCCTATTCAGTTGCCCGCGAACTGAGATCTCTCTTTTTCCGTATATTATCCGCATAATTACGCGTCGCGCCAACGCTCACCCCAACATTTTAACGCCGGACTAGCTAACACGGCGATGTACGTCGCTCTAATGGACGTTAAGAGTACGAACGCCAGCAGAGCTAACAACCGGCGAGCCAATGATTCGAAGCCATCATACATTCGATGTACATTAGCCATCGAACCACGATGCATTTACCCCGCGGCATTAGGTTTGTAAACGGCTGATCAACTGCATACCGCTTGCGCGTGCGTAAGGTTAACTAGTTACCCATAATCCAAAATTCAGGATCCGGCCGGTTAAGGCGTATAGTAACACGTGGCGAAATAACGCGCGCATCGTTATTCGACACAGAACAGACTGCGTATTCTTGTACGAGAGGGATGAAGTCTGCATTACACAGAAAAGGACATTCTTATTTAGAAAATATCTTTATTTTTCACACGCTAATCTTCAAATGAGATTATATAGTGTTAGAAGAAGATAAGTTACTTGCAAAAACATATTTTATATGATTTAATTATAGAAAAATCTGTGTTATTAAAAAATTGTATTTTCATTAATGGGAAGCACAAAATATTTTGGATTGAGAATATAATGTTTTTAAATATGTGTCTCCTTATCCACTTAAAATTGATATATTCAAATTAACAATCGTTCAATCATTAATAATCATTATTTTATATATAAAATAATCATTGTTTCACATGTAAGCAACGATATACGATTTTGTTAGAAAAATTTTCTAGTTTTTAATTTCAATAATGTTATATAACTTTATTTGAATATTATAATAGTTTTATAAAAAGTACAATATGTGATTACTTTGATGGTAATGATATCTTCATCCGACATTTGAAAACATTATATTCCCAATCCAATATTTTGTATTTTCCATTAATCAAAAACGTTTTTCAATAATGACATAGGTTATTTTTGCGATGAAAATCATATAAAATACTTTCTTGCAAATAATTTATCTTCGTTTAACGCTATATAATCTCATTTGAGTATTAATATGTTAAAAATAAAAATATCTTCCTAACAAGAATGTCTTTCCTTTTCTTTTAAACTTTTCTCAAGCTCTCTGATATTCAGATTTAAATTCAGAGTTAGATAAGAATTCTTCGCATTGAATCGCGAATTACAAAAATGTAAATGTCATATATATAACTTAATTAGAAAACTTCTAATTCTAAACAAAAATCTAAGTATCTCGTACAAGACAAGTTTCAAGTCGCAACTATTAATAGGCCCGTTACTTAAAACTTGTCTCACGTGAGATACTCAGATTGGAATTGAAAGTTACATTTGACTATTTTAGTTGAATTATATTATATACATAACATTATATCTATAATCCAGATTAGATTCAACTGAAACATTCATATCTAACTCTAAGTTTCTCACTTGAATTATGATACATGTCACACATTTATATTTGTGACCGTAATCCAACAGAAAAAAATTCTCAATTAACTCTGAATTTTAATCTGAATATTTCACTTGAAACTAGTTTCAAGTAACCACTATTAATACAGGCTCTAGAAACAGAATGTAAGAGAGAAAGCATTTGATTAGCATATCTCTGTTCTCCCATCTTGTCATCAGCCGTCTCGCGTAAAAGTGCGTAGAGTCTATTCTATAAGTTCTGCAAATCCTATACAGAGAGAATGATTTGATAGAATCAAATAAACACTTCTTTGGAATGATCCAAACGAATTTTTTTTATTGATCAAACAAAATTTTATTTAACACAACAAAAATATTTATTTGCGGCTTAGTTCCAAAGAAATACTTTTGTTGTGTCGACCAAAAAATTTATTTGGACTATTCCAAAGAAACATTTATTTGATTCAACAAATCGTTCTCTCTGTGTATAAGTTCTATAAATCCTGTATAAGTGTATATATGATTCCTCGTTATGAAACGTTACGTTCAAAAAGTTGCATGGGATTATGGGCGATTCGAGGGAATATCTCAAGCGGTTAATAATAAATATCGCGACTGAAGTATCCCAGCGATTTAATCTAAAGGATTAGCCGGGGAAAATTTCTCGACTTTAATACTGTACAAATTGCGTGAACGCGCGTGAATTCGTGCGGTATTTACGTCTCTCTCCCTCTCTCTCACTCAAGCCGGTATTTAATGGTAAGAAGAAGTTGGCGGGGAAGTTAAAGGGCTAAACTTGCCGTTGCATTCCGACCTGTGTGCGAGACTTTCCGGCGGATTACCGATTAAAAGTTTAACAGCCCGAACTTTCCGAGCGACTTCGCACAAAGTGGCCGAAGTCGAATGGTTGCGCGCTCCCTAAAAGGGTGGGGAGGTGTTTTAAAAGCTGATTATGCATCAGTAACAACTCTATCGATTCATTTCAACAGATTCCCGAGCAAGTTACTGGGTCGCGAGGGGCACGTCGCGTCACCACGCACGGCCGTGTCCAAGAGTTCACCTTTCCTTTTGTGTCGAAAGTATTAACCGAACGAAAAACTTCATGAAAGTAAAACACGCTTGCCCAGCGTTATGAAAGCACCGCATAATATTAGCATACCTCCTCGGCCGTATGAAGCATATCTCCATGATAGAGCACGTCGAATATCGCGCGACCGAGGACGAGCAGGGAGATTGATGGAATTTTTGAGTCCGCCCAAATATTCAGCCACTCTCTCCCTCACTCACTCATTCTCTCTTTCTCTCTCTCTTTCTCTCCCCTATTCTCTCCATATCCATCCCGTCAACGGACGCGATACTTACTGTTCGCGTTTAAGCGCATACTCGTGTATCACTTGAAAGTGCGCGCGCGATCCAACGGGCGCGCGTGTCGCGTCGATTCGCGAAGAGAGAACGCGCTCGTTATAGACATATAACTGTGCATTTAGCGGAACCTTGGAGAGCTTTGTTTCCAGAAAAACGTCTGTCGCCGCTGAAGGAGAGCGGTGGAACGGCCCGTGCTCGCGCACGAGAATAAGTCAACGCGAAAAACTGAAATATTATCTTTTAAAAGCGCGGACATTAAGAGCGTTATGAAGTTACGTAACAAAGGGGAAGTTTAGGTGCCAAGAATATTAAGTTCTCCTAGCGGCGTGCGCTCGGGAAGAAAAAAAGAGTGGAAACAAGAAAAGCGGAGAAAGGGTTAAAAAAAAGAAGGAAAATGAAAGTGCCGGCGATGTGAAGACAGCAAAATTAAAATCGCGACCGTTCTTGACGAAGGAAGAAATAATACATGTGTACATATATATAATAAGAAAAAATATATACATATGCATGCGCTTAGATACACCGAGATGGACATCTCCCATGTGCCCCGAATTGAGATAATATTTGCGTATTTATTTGTAAAATAAATACGATTCCACGCACTCCGCGAAATGACATGGGGGGGGGGGCTCTTTCGCCGCAATATCGGCAAATGTCAGGGAGAACGAAACAATGAGAGCTCTCGTGAACGTGGAAGGAGTTCTCCCCCAGCCATCGTCGTCGTCGTCTTGTGTCCAGAAGAAATTTCCGAGTGAAAACAGCGAAGCTATTCCGACGACCACCGCTGCTTCTTCTCTAGTCCGCGCAGTTCTCTCTACTCTCGCGAAGCGAGAGTCCCCGTTACAGTCCTTCCTCATCTGCATTTCGCCCGCCTTTATATACCTTCCCGCCCCTTATTTCCGCGCCGTCTTTATGTAGCGCGCCAACGGAGGAAGAAAAGCACTTCGCTTGTGCAGATATTTCTCTTTATGTACACTTGACATGTAAAAATTTCAACGACGAGAATAATTCGTGCCGTTTGTATGCGGAGTTTCAGATGGTAGCTGCCATTGTATTATCGTGCATCCGAGCGTGATAAACAGGTTAAAGGAAGATGAGGCAGGATTGTAAGGTAAATACGTAATATCGCGGAAACCTGATGCGGAATGGAAGCGAACGTGCCCTGCCACGAGGCTCCCGACCGTTTCGATCCACAGCGCGCGACTAATTCCTCTCCGAGCCAACCGTTGTCAACAGACGTGCGAAAACAAAGTAATTAAGGTGATGCCACACGGATTAATGTGAAACGACGCGGCTGAGTGTGTGCGAGATTGTTTGTAAATCATACAACTTCATCATAAACTATCTCGGATAACCTACACGATGCAAGCAAATTCCAGACCGCGTTAGTCTCCGCATATTTGTATAAAATAATTCGTATTAAAATTAAGACGCGACACCGACTCTTTATTATTGTCACATCGAGGAATCATGAGCACGAAACACGTCTGCACGGGACATCGTCGTCCAGCGCGTTCCGCGGAATCCACGTACGACGAGGTGATACACCAAATCGACGATAGCGTCTTATCCGTCAAATTAACTAAAAACAAGCATCACGTTGAGACTACGGATGAAGACGCAGTCAAGCCTGCGCCTTGCATTCACGTTCATTGCGTGGATAAATACGGTAACGCCATCAATATCATCAAAAGCAACGATGACGCGACTATGATTCCACTAATTGATATTACAATCGACAGACGACGTAAATTTTGACAGTATTGTTCTTAATATTGATACAATGAATTTTGCATACCGCCACGCAAGGTAACAAGTGCAAGAAGAACTGTCCAAAAGTCAAGGTGATACATAATCAGTCACCATCTCCGAAAAAAGCGGAGGAAGAAATGCTCATACTGAAGGCAGTACAGCATACCACTCCCTCTCACGATATGAGACACAGTCTTGAGGTAGAATTTAAGTCGCCACGGAATTACATTCCGCTACCAGAACTTGGACCACCCCCACCCATAATCGTTCCGAAAGAGACCATTACCGTGAAACCGGATAAGCCGAAGAAGAAAAGGAAGAAGTAGAGCGATCGAGATAAACATCGGACAAAGTTTGCGAGCACCATCTGCGGAAAATATTTTACTCGTGTACAGAGGCCTTACTCACTGCACAGAACCCTTAATTTGCATACAGCAGAGGCAACGACAAAGGAGCGACCATTAGATACAGCGAAAACGCGGAGCTAATAAAGAACTTTTCTCAAAACCACTATTTAATTCCCACGTGCTCGCCCATAAAAATTCTTTAAGCGTACGAAGAAAAAAATTGGTTAAATTAACCCGGTAATGGACAAACTAAGTGCATCTTGACTGAAGAAAATCGAATTTCTGGTTTTTATAGATCAAATTTGGCTCTAAGAGAACCAGAAATTCTGTTTCCTCCAAATAAAATGCCTTTCGTTCGTCACGCTGAAAAGAAAATATTTAAAAATTTATTTATGAGATATTAAGTTTATTCACAGAAATAAATTTTGATTCAATACAGAGAAATAAGCTTTATATCCGACAAATGTTCAAATATTTTCTTCTCAATGTGCAAATTAATTTGCCTAAACTTTTTTCTCCATGCATAGATACGCATAAAGAAAGAGCAGAACAAGATCAATCGACTCGGTGTTCAGGCAACTGCTGCAATTTATCAGAAAAAAATTGACGCAGCAACAATAGTCATCGAGATGACATTTATACTTTTCACCTGTCCGCCGTGAACATTAATCGAGTTCGGCGAATTCTAGGCACAAGCGTCTTATAGATTTACGAGTCGCGCGAAACTGAAGTGTTCGCCACTTTGTCGGAAAGGCGAGGGCAAGAGGCGCGGAGTCGAATAACTCGGGGTGATAAATCAGCGGTATTATATTCTTGCTCGTCTTGGGAAACAATAGATCATATCGCGCATACGGATACGCCGGTATTAAACGTTTTTGGTTCCATTGTCGCCCGACGAGCGCGCGCCGTGCCAGCGCGCGGCGGGGACCTTTTTAAGCCGCGCTTTAAGTTTCCACTCTCGCCAATAAATCACGACGATTTAACCTGCATGGTAAGAGAAACGCGAACTTGAGCGCGCTCAAAGGGTGCCGCCCTTCCCCGATAAAGGGTTGGAAAAGGAAGGATGCCCGCAAATATTCCATTACGACGTACGCTAAGAGCCGGTGTAAAGTATCACTCGAGGTTCTCGTATTGCGTGCAGCGAGGGAAGCCAGAAAGGAGGAGGATGTAGTATCGGGAAGGGAAAGGTCAACGGAGACACACGAGAGAATCGATAGCTCGTCGAGGGAAGCAGGCAGGTGACAAAGAGAGGTGCTTTTTGACGAATGTGAAATATTCATCGTCAGTTGGCGAAGCGAGATTGAAAAAGCAGTCTCTTCGCGAATCTTTACGATAACAGTAGTTAGAATTCTCAAGCCGGAGCTCGCAAGCCCGTCTTTTTATTGGCGTAAAACGGCGAATATTAATGTGTAGCAGTGAAACCTCACTGAAAAGTTTTCCTTTCCCGACGTATGTATGCCCTATATTCCCACATTTCTTGTCACTCTCTCTCGGGAGAATGAAAGATCGAATCCCTCTGGGCTTCGCTTATTCCCGCCACGTGATATCCATGGCCCTAGATCTTCGCGACTTGAGCTTTGACTTTCATCCTCTCTCACATGAATCAGCCGTACTTACGAGCGACATGATTTGCAGCGGAAAAAACGTGCGGAGAGACAGAGAGAGACTAGGAGAGAAAGAAAGAGAGAGAAGGAGGGAGAGAGAAACGGCAAAGGTAACGGTGTAGAGAAGCCGATAAAAGATCGCGTGCGTGACGTTGTCGCAGTGAAACGTAGTCGCGGTGAGGGATTATCCCCAGGAAGAGACGTTGTACCTACCCTCCAAGATTTGAGAAGCGCGCTATACTTCGACGACGAAGGCAGAAGCGCGAAAGATACATCCCACGATCAGAGGGTGGAGGGGAAGAAAGGCAGGGGATGGAGTGATGAAACGCGTCATTTGTCCGCGGACCCGAAATACTCACAACCGCGTTCAAACACGAAGAACATCCAGTGCGGTTACGAAGCCGTAAAAGCTTGGCAACGACAAATGCACCTAGCGTGTTGCGAAGGCGCGCGAGTACACGCGCAAACGTTGGCCCGTGCAACGGACGGCTGTAATTGGGTGCTGGTTACAGAATTCATTGCCGCGTTTAGGGCCTTAAACGACCGAGAGATATATCACAATTAAACGTGACCATCAATCTGGACTCTAAGCTGTGATGCTGTGCAAAATACTGCGGCAGGCATTCAAGTAGGCGTAAAAAATCAACGGGCATACATGCATTTGTGCGCGAGTGTGTGTGTGTGTGTGTGTGTATGTACAAACATATATAAATATAAATACTAGATTTTGTACTATAAGTAATTTCGGATATGTGTCAGACACAGAATGAAACACGAGATATATTTTTGCGCCGTTATAATTGTGTGAAACAGTATACATGCGAAAGGTAGCAGAAGATCGTGCATCAAAACATTTCATGAAATTATATCGACACGAAAATATAATCCTCTCATTTTACCCGCAACCGAAATTACTTATCGTACAATCCAGTATATAGGGTGAGTTCATAATTAATGCCATCTTGAATGTCTTTAAAGCAAGAAACAAAGGTGATCTTCAGATTTTCGAAGCTATTCTACTTGGAAAACGTGCTTCTTATACACTGAGAGAAAAACTATTTGAGAAATAGCAAATATTTGGTAGATACTAATATTTACTTATATAAGCGCAGAGGATATTATAATTTCTTTTCGTATAATTTTTTAAAAATTTTACTATGTTTTTAATAGTTCAAGAACTGTCAGTAAGGTCTATCTTACGCAACAAATTTCGCTAGAAGCATAGTGTTTTAATAGCACATTTTAATTCCTAAAATACAAGTAGTACATATAAAATAAAAGGATAACGAATTATTGCAAAATGTCAATCTATTCCTCGTTTACAAAGTTCTAAAGTAAATTTTCACTATAAAATTCTCTCCGTGTACTAATATTAATACTTATACTAATACTAGAGTATAAAATATTTTTCAAATAAGAAAATATATATTTTCTTAAAACCCCTTAAGAGAACCTTTAGCTCTTCATGAGAGCAATTGTTTCTTCTATTTAAATGAGAGAACTTAAATTTAAGTAAATACGTTGAGTGCCTCCATCTAATAAATATTTACTATTTTTTTTTCTCTCAGTGTGGTTATGTTTTTTTTCTGACGGCAATAACTTCGGAAATCTTATCTTTGTCATTTTTCTTCAGAGATACTCAAAATATTGATAGTTACTGTCCCACCCCGTAGAAATGAACACGTAAAATTAGCACGTAAAAGTCGCGCAAAACTTCAACACATATCACGATAATTTTTATATGTTAAAATCGAGTTTTATATGTTATTTTTAAAATCATATCAACCGGCGACGTTTTACGGCACATTCACTAATATTTTCGCGCGTTCTGCATTATGCATTAAATTGCTGTTTGCGATTAATTCCATTTGCGAAATATAAGTATTATCGTATGAAACAAAATATCCCGCCCTTCTCTCTTTCGTGCAGAATACGCATATATTTACTACCGTGGGATTCTCTCACGCGCACGTTGTATTCCCGTAATATGCACGCGCAACCCGTAATCTGGCACAACCAGGGGCAGAAATTTCGTTGCCGCATTTAAGACCAGCCTAACCATAACACGGACTGGTTGAGTATCGAATTCGACGTTGGGCAAAGCTGGTGGAACCGCAATTTACATGCACCACGTACTGCCCTTAACGCAGCATGCTATAGTCGGGCTAATGGAGGGTCTTAGTACAGACAGAATTGATGATCGCGATATACCTAAATCTATTCATCCATGATAATATGAGTACATTATAGAACAGTACGACAATAATTGGATACCTTTTATCTAATTGTCGAATAAAAACGCGCATGGCCCACTGTGTACAGAGATTTAAAGCCTCCAACACTAACGACGGGCATTTTTGTCGCAGGAAAATCAGCTTTATTGTATAAATTGAGTCGAGAGGTTTATCCTTGAAATTAAACGCGAACGACGAACGAGATCACCAAGGTATTTCGACGCGACTATTTACGCGCAATCAGCCGCGCCTATTGCTTGTTATTATCGGACATGATAATAACAACAAATAATATTACTTAGAGAAGGAATAATTCGCAAGTATTATGACCGCGTACGCAGAGTGAAGGACTCAATGAAAATACATGGGTTTGTAAACACCATAAAAGTCTTCATAATCTGTTTCGGCGCAGCAGCTTTTCATCCGCGTATTCTGGAAAAGCGGCTTACTCGTTAACGAGTATAAAAGACAACACATGCATTCGGAAATCTGATAGCGACGCCGATACGAAATCATCACGCGAAATTATTTCCGCGATTCGGTGCCTGCGCACGCTCCAATAACGAGCGCAAATCCGCGCACGTGTATCGGCGCGCGATGGAAAAGCTTGTGCAAAAAAGAAAGAAGGGAAAAAGGAAAATCGAGTAAAAGTAAATCTGCTGACAATATTCGAGCCGCTTAGAGCCTTAAACTGCCTGAAGTATAGATCTATCTTTTCCATTTGCAAAACGCTGGATCAAGCGTCACACATGCGCGGATTTATGCAGCACGTACTTCATAACGGTGTCGACAACGAGCTTAATCGTTTTAAATTCGTCGCATTCAGCAACACGAAGCTGCGTGCGCGATATCGATGGCGGTGCTACGAGCACGCGGAATTTGATGCAGCCAGTTGCGTGGCGTGTACTTGAAATGGTCTTCCCGATTCATCGTATGATTTAATGAAATTTGAATGCATCGACCCTCGGATCGCTGGCTCGAAACGCTCAATCGTTTAGCAACGGTTTGTTGGCGTTCCGCGCGTGATCGTCTTGCGTATATAAGGAAGAATTTACACCTTGGCAGAAAAGCAGAAAAATAGAAAGGCGGAAGCCAATCAAAACTCACGTTGGTGGTCAGGTAATAGTCGACAATTTCTGCTTTTCTATTAGCGCGAGTTCCGACTGGTTTCTGCCTTTCTGTTTTTTATTTTTCTGTCGAGTTGTGAATTCTGTCTAAGACGCGATTTTTACACACACACAGCAGCGTGGAATATTCGCGGGAAAAAAGGATCACACGTCGCGTAAGCGCGACGTCGGTACACATTGCAGAGTAAACCGCACAATTATCGGCATTCCCCTTATCCATTGAAAAAACCAGAGTTGG